GTTATCCTAGATTCTCTACACATATGCTGTTATGTATGATAATCTATGTAATTGTATTTGTGTATACCTGAATAAACTTACTTACATACATACATACGAAAGGAATAATTTTCTACAGTTACCCCCAGTAACACATTTTCTCTTATGTTAGATTAGAGAAAATGTTATTCTTGGCATCACTTGTACAAGTTATCTGGCTACCACATCTCATATTTGTTTATTTATTCTGCTGTGGGGTGTATTTATCATCTTTATATGTTATGTATCATGTTTATTATATATCGAAAAAAATATCATGGATGGATTAATGAAAATGTGTATATTAACGTAATATACGACATTTAAATGAGACTCAGTGATTATTATCATTGCTAATATGACGTCTGGAGACATAAAACACTCTTACTGATTTTAATGTGTACCTGCATGCCAGCACAGTATGTAAGTTTATTTAAGTACAGGTATATATAAGTATAATTATCAGAGTATATGTAAAATATGAAATAACTTTTAAAAACACTTAAAATTTTGGAGTTTCCCGACATAATGGAGAGACTTTGTGCTTACGGATCTCACAGGGAATGTAAACAAACCGGGTGGGACACGGTGACCGTATTAGAAAGTCAGGTGGGGGGAGCCATATAGCGAGTTTTGGTTATAATTTGAAATGACCATATTAGCGTAACGCTGTAAAGCCAAACACCGTAAAGCGGGGACCTTCTGTACCTGAAGTCAGTGTCGGATCAGCTGGGTTGTGGTTTGTACGTTGGACTATGTGCAGCTCGAATATCATCTAGGTAGACTCCAGGTAGACTAGTATTTGGGAGGATAAATATCAGTGTGATAGATATTGCCAGTTAATTTGTCTAAATTCAGTGGTAAGTTTTTTGAATGTTGGTAGTATAGCAGTCCTGATAAAATTTTAGCTACCTGGAATGATATATTTATCAGTGCACCTCTATAATTGGAGGATGTAGACAAGTGTTTAGATCGTTAACTTTTCTGATTAGTAAGTTTTATAAAAAATATATGTGCATTAAACTCTTGATTAATCTGCATAGTACATAAGAAATTCTTAACTACAGTAATTTATTTTGTCATAGAAAGTGGGCAAAAATAATAAAGGCGAACAATAAAAAGCGAGGGACAAAAAAAAAAAAAAAAGTTGCTGAGTATACTGATGGACAGTGAGAATGTTTGTGTGTGCCATCAAACTTCAGATAGCCATTGGTAAACATTTTATTCAAGTTAAATAAATAAAAATATTATCAGGACTGGTGGTGTACCATCCGTGTATTAAAAGTACATCAACACAGATAACTGATACTGTCATTGGTACATCAATTGAGTTTTCAGTTTGGAAGATGGTTAATGTTGTATGACAAAATTGTTACCTACTTTCATCACAAATAATGAAAAATGCACAAACTAGTGGGTGGCAGCATTACGGTTCTTGAAATCTTCAAAAAAGGAGGGAGGGGAATGTTAAATTTGAGAGTGATTGTGCTGCAACAGCCTGTGAAATTTGCCTGATTGCTGCACTTGTAACAGACAGTTGAGTTTTTCCCCAAAGTTGATGGTCCTGGTGATTAAGCTGTAGCATATCTGAATTTAAAACTCCACAAATTTTTTTTTGAAACTCATGTGAAGCAACATATCAAGACTCAGCAGATTTGGAATTGGTCAGGTGGCTACCATCTTAATTTTTGTTTTCAGGTTTTAATCTCATATAATATTTAACCCGTAAATGGTCCAAGCAGATCTACGTTCACATGTGTAGTGCTACAAAAGTAGATCTACTTTTTTTTTACATATTTTCAAATGTAACAAAAAAAAAAAAGTAGATCAAAGTTTTTTTTACACATTTTCAAATGTAAAAACAAAAACAAAAAAGATCTACTTTTTTTACATACTTTCAAATATTGAAAAAACGTATGTATACGTTTGGACCGTTTACGGGTTAAAAGTTTCATCTTTCACAGTATACAGGTCCGCCATCACAAATCCGGCAATCAGTTATTCGGTTCCTTCAGTTATTCGGCACTAATTTTGGCTAGCATAATTCCAAATTTCCAGGGTCTCCACACCAACCTGCTGCTACTGTTTGGTGGAGCTACTTGCTGCATAAGTCATTCCAATTTCTTTTTCTCCATTTATTGTTTTAACCTGCTTACTTTTAGCCCTAGCCATGGTTCCAACAAATAATAGAAATGCTTCTCATTATGTAAAGCACGTACACAGTACATTGTCCATTAAAGATAAGGTGGCTTTGAAGCCACTGTCGGTTGTCATGAGCTCAGTATCATGATACAGGAGATTATTATGCTAATATCAACACTACAGCTTATTTGCCTATCACAATTGATCTAATATGACATAAACAATATAAATAACATAAAACATTTTAAATACTCCAGAATGAATAATATTTGGCATAACACCGAGCAGTTCGATAGAGTTATGAAGAGGATATGGTAAACAAATACCATTCTCCTATCCTTGTCTTGGTGGCATATATTAGAGAAAACAGAGTATAGCACGGGGCTATAAACATGAAACAAAAAAGTTATTTTCTCTCTATAGATTATCACACATAGCAGCATGTGTGTAGAGAACCTAGGATAACCCCAAAAAAGTCAACGTGGCTTATTTTTAGTACCTGGCTTGGGTTAGCCACATGTGATTTTTGGTAAATATTCGATTCCCAGCCAGGGTAGAAACATTAGGCGTGTTTCTTTACACCTGTTGTCTATGTTTACCCATCAGTAAATGGGTACCTGGGTGTTAGTCGACTAGTGCGGGTGTTATCCTGGGACACTGACCTAATTTTCTTGAAATACTCAGCATAACAAGTGCCTTTCTATACAGTAGTATGTCACTGATGTCAGCTAGGACTGTATACCTTGTACATGTACATGTAGTAAATAGAGATATTATTATTATTATTATTATTATTATATTATTATTTTCTCTGTTTGTTGGGTTATCTTATTCAAACTTGGGCAATGTATGATGGAAAGATACTTCTTCACGTACACCAAAAATGAAAGAAATCAGACCAAAAATAGTGGAGTTCACTTCTCAGCCATTAGCGGCCGCTTAGTGGTATATTTTTGTATGGTTGTTATGGTTATATTCTCATTTTTTCGGTCTCATTTGGTAGAATGAAAGATATATTACAGAAATAGATATGATTTTGATTGCTTTCATGACGAAAAGTACCTTGAAATTGTGCTCACGGTAGCGAAAATGTTCTATTCTTTAGCGAAGCTCAAGAGTAAACAAGTGATGTCACCGTCCAATACCTGTCCGCCTGCCAGTCTAAATTCCAATACGGAGTCAAGAATGGATTGACATTATTTATACAATTATTACAATAATGCAGTAGTCTGTATAACAGTAAATCATCATTTTTTTTTTTTTTTTGTGAATAAAAGTTCCAAATGGTAAGCAAGAGTAATATAAGAGGGGCCTGTAGCCGTGACTAATGAACAGAGAAAATGTTATTTTAGTGCCAAGAATGCCTGCATTGTTTATTCTGGACCCTATTTTGAAATTGGCACCTTTTGAAATTTGTGTGAAATCGGCCAAATTGCCAATTTCTGACCACTTTATTGGGTAGTTGAAATAAGTGAATGGGCGGTTTCTTGTACTCAGTTGACATACTAGAAGTAAATAAGTTTATTCAGGTATACACAAATACAGTTACATAGATTATCATACATAGCAGTGTATGTATAGAGAACCTAGGATAACCCAGAAAAGTCAGACAAAGTGACTTATTTCCAGTACCTGGCTTGGGCTTGCCATTATATGATTTTTGGTAAATATTTTTTTTCTCGGTTGTTTGTTGGGCTATCTCATTGAAACTTGGGCAGTGTATGATGGAAAGATGCTTCTTAACGTACAACAAAAGTAAAAGACGGACGATAAATAAGGGAGTTCACTTCTCAGCCATTAGCCGCCTCTTTGCAGTATATTTTCGTATGGTTTTTATGGTTGTATTCTCATTTTTTGGACTCATTTGATAGAATGGAAGATATATTACAGAAATAGACATGATTTTGATGGCTTTCATAACGAAAAGTACCTTGAAATTGAGCTCAAAGTAGCGGAAATGTTCGATTTTTGCCGATGTTCAATGAACTGTGTAAGTAAGTTGGTTAATTTTATTAAGTGTATTCTAACCTAACCACTTTGTAATTCGGCAAACTCAGTAATCCGGCACACTACAGGTCCCAGTGATGCTGGATTTGTGATGGAGGACCTGTAGTAGCAACTAATTAAAATAATATTAGGTTTTAAGTTTTTTCTGCTGTTTTACTTTATAAAATAAAGCACTTTTAATACAGCATGCTCTCTTTTGTTTAATGTTTTGAAGTTTTATTTATGGAGGGTAAGACATTGTTTATATTTGTGTAATTGTATAATTTTTCCATTTATAGTTTTACACCATGTTTTGATGAAGTATTCTCTTTTATGTAGTATTGTTTGTTGTTCATTTTTTTATATGGGCTGTTTCATAGAACAGTATTCACATTTAGAAATAAATACTTGTTGAAATAATTTTTGTAGAGTAGTATATACTTGTATATACATATGCATTCTACTTAAATTCTTTTATGTCTTAAATACTCAAGTAGTTATGTGTATCCTTTATGCTGATAATGTTTTTTCTCCTTGGTCAGAACATAATTTGCTTCATATATTATCTTTAATAATACATTACCACTTCCTAGTTATTGACATACGATTTAATACGTTTCCCTTAGTATGCTATAAATCTAGAAAAAATTAGTTCTTTACACTTCAGATTTTTCTGTAGTTTTTAGTATGATACTACATAAATTAATTCATGAAATTAAATAATTAAAGCTTATAGTGAATTTTCCATTGCATCTTTGTGTGTAAGTAGAGATGAGTAAAGTTTAGTTAAGTTTGTGAGTGTGTGGTGAATACATGTCCATTGTTCAGAGTTGGTTGTTTGTTCCTTTTGCCAGGTTTCACTAGGAGGGCCGATCCAAGGCTTCCCCCCTCATCCCACTCCAGCCCCCAATCATCCTAACCCTCCTACAACTATAGATGGTTGGAATCAGAATGATGCTCAGGTGAGGCTTTGTGCATGAAACAAAATATTTTTGTTGTTGATCAAAATACTAAAATGATAATTTGGAAGCAAATTCTTATCTTGTAATTAGTTTTAAGGGGTCACATTGGAGTGTACAGTAATGTTAGTAATAAGTATGGTAATTGATGTACTATGTATCGTAAGTAATTGAAATACTGTACTATGCAAACAGGACAGTGATGACTTGAGCTAACTTATCTTGTACTAGTAATAGTTATTTCTAATTAAAAGAGATTGATATTTTATTATGTACTAAAGTTCTGCAATAACTTTTACTAAATTTCTTATATTCTTTTGCTGTACTGTATTTCTTTTGCCCTGATACACACACACACACACACACACACACACACACACACACACCACACACACACCACACACACACACACACACACACACACACACACACCACACACACACCACACACACCCCACCACACCCCCACACCACACCACACACACACACACACACACCCACCACACCCCACACCACACACACACACACACCACACACACACACCACACACACACACCACACACACCCCACACACACACACACCACACACAAACACCACACACACACACCACACACACACCCACACACACACACCACACAACACACCACACACACACACCACACACACACACCACACACACACACCACACACACACACCCCACACACCCACACACACCACACACACACACACCACAACCACACACACCACACCACACACACACACACCACACACCACACACCACACACCACACACACCCCACACACACACCACACACCACCACACCACCAACACACACACCACCACACACCACACACACACCACACAACAACCACACACACCACACACAACCCACACACACACCCACACACACCACACACACACACCCCACAAAACCACACACACACACACACCCCCACACCCACACACCCACCACACACCACCCCACACACCAACCACACACACACACACCACATCACACACCACACACACCCCACAACACACACACACCACACACACACCCACACACCCACACACACACCACACCACACACCAAAACCACCACCCATCACACACACCACCCACACACACACACCACCACACACACCAAAAACCACAACAACAAAAACAACACACAAAAAACACAAAAAAAACAAAACAACACAAAAAAAAAAAACAAAAAAAAAAACAAAAACAAACCCAAACAAAACAAAAAAAAAACCACAAAAAAAAACAAAAAAAAAAAAAAAAAAAACCAAAACCAAAAACAAACAAAAAAAAACAAAAAAAAAAAAAAAAAAAAAACCCCCAAAAAAACAAAAAAAAAAAAAAAAAAAAAAAAAAAAAAAAAAAAAAACAAAAAACCAAAAAAAAAAAAACAAAAAAAACCAAAAAAAAAAAAAAAAAAAAAAAAAAAAAAAAAAACCCAAAAAAAAAAAAAAAAAAAAAACCAAAAACCACAAACCCAAAAAAAAACAAAACCAAAAAAAAAAAAAAACAACAACAAAAAAACAAAAACAAACAAAACAAACAAACAAACCCCAAAAAAAATACAAAAAAAAAAAACCAAAACACAAACACAAAACAAAAAACAAAAAAAAAAAAAAACAACAAAAAAAAAAAAACAAAAACAAAAAAAAAAAAAACAAAAAAAAAATAAACCAAAAAAAAAAAAAAAAAATTAAAAAAAAAAAAAAAAAAAAAACAAAAAAAAAACAAAAACAAACCAAAACAAAAAAAAACCCAAAAAAAACAAGGGGAAAAACAAAAAAACCGAATGCAGGAGATAAAAAAATATAAGAAAAAAAAAAAATAAAAAATTTAAAAAATAAGTACATGCATGCATAAACACATACACCATAATTAGACACCCTTACGTCGCACAGACACCCCCTGCGTCTGCCCTTAGTTCTTTTTCCGGGCCACTCAGGTCGCCATCAAAGGGCCTTGCCACTTATATGCCCAGACTTGCCTCGCACCCACTCACACACCTGGCTTAAACACAAAAGTACCTCACTCTCTCTCGGGGGCAGGGCCCGCCGGGCCCATGGGACAAACACACAACCTGTGTAACCCACCATACTAAAAATAAACTAAGAAGCCTCCGAAAATATTCATTTAACTACCCCTCTACAGCTACCAAAAAACCCCTTTAAAATTGGGTACCAACGGGGGTCCAGCTTGTTTTACCCTGAGAAGGAAAGGGAAGGTATAAGTCCCCCTTAAATTTCATCACCCTCACAAGAAGCATCCGTCTCTCAACGAGTTATCCTGTTTCGTGTCTGCACGTTTAGCACCCAAACCCCAGAAAACAATCCACCGAAATTTATCGAAATTCACGAAAATTTGTAAGGCGCCCCATGACCCCACGCTGTTTCTCAGCACGTTTCAGCGTCACTTTATGTTGCTTTTGTTGTTCACTCAGCACAGCTGTTTCCGACCAAGGGTTTTTGGGTGATTTCGCGTCCAGTTGTTTTTCGCCGTGTTTTGGTTTGAGAGAGGAAGTTGCCAGATCCCCCTCGCCTACACTCCCCACCTCCTCCCACCACCTACCAACACACCACGCCATCTCCCCCTCTGCTGTTTTTTTCTGCTTTTTTTCGATAAAATTCATTGCCATGCTGTGTACCCGGTGCCCGGGGCCCACTCGAAGCTCGGGGTTACGACGTCACGGGGGTTTGGGGGCGATATGTAACCTACAAAGCCACGTGATTACCAGAGTCCCGGCCTCATGCTGGGGTCTCTGCCCGCATCACATCGCGCCACCCACGAGTTTCCCAACCTTCATACTCACGATGTCTGCCTACGTCACCTCGAATGTCTGCTGACGTCACCTCACAGTCTGCTGACGCCCTCTCGAGCTCCCCTGACGTCACCTCACGTTGTCTGCGACGTCACAGGCGCGACCCCCCTTGCGACATCCCCGCCTAATCACAGATGTCACATCGAGTGTTCTGTAATTATTTCATTTGTCAGAAGTTTGAAGAAAATATATGTCGTGTGTTAATTATTCCCTCTCATCAGTGTTCTCACATTTTAAAAAAATGTTTATCAGTTTTATGCGAAAAAAAAGCATCATTTGCTAGTTAACCATTTGCCCGTATTAAACGGTTTTTTAAATTCCGTTGCCAGTGATCGGGCAGACCCTTGATTTTTTACCACTAAGCACCCGTACCATGTGTTTGACAGCTGTTTTCTCACCCCCAGCGATGACCCCCCCCGTACAGAAAGCTTTTTTTTTCTCGTCGCTCGTGTTTTCTGCAAATCCAAACCCGTACGATTTCCCTCGAGATTTGTTTTCACTTAAACCTCCGACCTCAGAGGCAGTATATGTAAAAACAAGTCTGGGGGCGCTTAGCTAACCCTGCTATAACTCCCCGTCGAAATGATACTCCCCAAGCCGCAGCCAGGGGCCTGCGCAGGCGCTGTTCAGCCTCGTGTCACAACTTTATGACGCCTGCACAAAGAAATGTCACTTTGACTGCTAGCTCTCTCACGCAGCTGGGGTAGAGTTTCACTCCCAGATTTTTGGGCCCCGTCCCCTCTGCCACACTCGCTCCACAACTCGCTCCACGTCGCCGGGAGTGACAGCCAGCGACAGTACCATCGAGGGGTGTCCTGAGTCCTTCCAGAAGTCCTGCCCCTTTCCCATTTTGCACGCCTCACTCGAGGCACCACATGTCGTGCCCCAGGTTGATGAAAAACCCCAGCGACTCCTACGAGTCTCTTCACCGTTTCCCGAGGGACCCTACCCGTTACTCACAGCCAGCCGCAGCGTGTCTCCCGTGTTGCAGTATCTGTCCAGACCAAAGGGGTGCAGGATGCACTTCGTGCCACTGCCAGCCCCGGTTTAGCACACCCCACATGTTTTTTTCTTCCCTCCCTGTAGGGAAATTTTTTTTTTTTATGTCCATATTAATAATGTTTTATTTTTTGTTCTTTGCCCTTTTTCCCACGAAGAGAGACCGAGTTTCTTTTACTACCAGTATTGTCGCGTCGGACGCGCGCGGTAGGTGGCCACGTATTAGACAGCCTGTACTGTCTCACAGACAGCCCATGCTGTCTGCCACTTTTTCTATTTTGCGCCACTCAGGGCTGCCATCTATAGGGCCTTTCCACTTCAGTATCCCAATTGCCTCGCACTCACTCACAAGCGGCCGGCTTAAAAACCAAATACTCTATCTCTCTCTCGTGGGCATGGCCCTGCCCGGGGCCCTGGGCCCAAAAAAACCCCAAACCTGTGTAACCCCCCCCTACTTAACAAAAAACTAAGAACCCCCGAAGAAGTATTCATTTAACTACCCCCCTACACTACCCAAAAAAGCCCTTTTTATACACACATGCCACACCACATCACACACCCAAAAGCACACCCCACAACACACACACACCACAGCACACACACACATGACACACCACACATGCACACACACACACATCACACACACACACACACACACACATGCTGCCACCACACCCACAAAGCATGCACGCACACCGTGCCACGCGCCCCACACACACACACACAAAAAACAGCAGCCGTCGGCACCCAAAACACAACATAGACCTTGTCTTGACGTGAAGTAGCAAAATTAGAAAGATTATCAGGGGAGAGGTGGGGCACCTGGAACGGAGCAAGGAATAAATGCCAACCACACGGGTTCATGGGAAGGAAATCTTTTCACAAACCTTTTAGTTTTTTGAAAAAATAACAGAATAAGACCGGGAGAGAGGGGGGGGTTTATCACATCTTTTTGGACTGCAAGAAGGGCCCTTTGACAAGTTTCCCCACAAAGATTGTGCAAAGCTAAGCATCAGGCGCATAAACAGGAAAGGGGACTGCAATGGATCAGAGAATACCTGACAGGAGGCAACACGAGTCAGGATAAAGATTATACAGTGGGCACCCGGACAGCGGGTCCCACAGGGTTGTCGAGGGCCATGTATTTTGGGAAATGTGAACGAC